ATCAAGGCGGTTGCCCCGTCTTGCTTTGCAGCATTCTTGTCAGCTCCTGCCTTGAGCAACACCCGCACCACTTCCAAGTGGCCATTATAAGCTGCAAGCATCTAGGCGGTTGTCCCGTGAAGCTGTTCAACATTCTGGTCAGCTCCTGCCTCGAGCAACAACCTTACCACTTCCAAATATCCCCACTCCGCCGCGGAAGACATAGGCCAAACAGGTCGAGGGACCGTATTTGGATCCAGTGGTTTCTGAAGCAACTGTTCAACTTCAACAACTCGATTGTTCTGACATGCAAGGAGTAGTGCCTCCCACTTGGCCTGCTCAGGTGCACAGAAGTCCAAGATAACCAACTGCAAACTTGGTAGTTGTCTGACAGGCATATCATCCCGTAGCTCACCCAGCTCTTCACTGACGAGTCTTTGTCGAAATCTCGAGTATCCAATCCGATTGGCTAGGAGCTTTTGCAGATCCTTTACAGATTGTCCACTCTCCACCATGCAGCGTAGATCCTCCTCATGAAGCTGGGAAACCGTGGCATCAGAGAGTGCTTGAATCTCCATGCCTGCCCCCCCCGTCCAGGAAGTGACCACTTGAGCGAAAATGCCTTGAGCATTCCTGTTTCAAACGCAAATGCACAGCCGGTCTGCCACGGTGCCGTCTGCCTTCCAAGGAACGGTAGAAGGTCCAAAACTCGTGCCACGCATGGAAGTTCCCACGGCGTTGCTCGGAAAATCTCCTCATCAAAGGAAGCCCGCACGATCTCCTAAAACCATCCCGTTTGAAAAGAATGTGTTCAAACAATTAGTGCATATTAGTTCATTGTTTTCAAAGTTCCTTCATGTAAAAAAAACAAAAAAGCACACACATGGTTGGGTGACGACATCTAATCATATCCCCAGAGCTAAGCTCGATCAGCAACCTCCTTACATATTGATACATATTGATTGTCTTGCCTTCCTACATGGGGTCACAGGACAAGGCTTGCCTTCCTCGCTGTGCTGGGAGTGGTCGAACAAGTTTTGTAGACCAAACAGCGGAAGGGATCCCACAACAACCACTTACGCTTCTCTTACACTTACACTTCTCTTATTACTTCTCTTACTTCTCTTACCACTTACACTTATTGAGGGGATCCCAATGAAAAATTGTTCCACTTCCAGCATTTTAGCACTCTCTTAGCGTCGAGTCTCCACATGAAGCACACGAAAAAATGTCGTTCCAGAAAGGTGCATGTTGATCATGGCAAGGCCTTCTTCCATGTCAGAAATGCCCCGAAATGGTGAACTAACGTGAACCAAAGCTTTTACTGTACAAAAAAGAGCAACAACCTACATTTCTGTATTTTGGTCAAAAGGTATCCTTTATCCCTCTGAGTAGGCCAAGAATCGCCTGGGTTAGGAAAAAGGACCTCCCACCGTCAACCACACATTGCTTCGAGATTTATCCAAACTCCTGGCCCATGACACTCAGCAACTAGTAGCCGCTTGAAGCTCAACATCCGCCAGACCTATTCCCAAAATCGCCGGATCCATTTCCACGCCGACGCGAATGCATCTCCTGCTGATTCGTGACACCTCCACACTTCCCAGCTCCTGAGTCTGCGATTTTCACTTCAGGACAGCAAGTCGACACATTACCCCTGATTCCGATTCCGAGGTATGGTTAGAATCTGGCTATGTAAGCAAATCTGCAGGTATTGTGATGACGGGTTTTAATGGCAGGTTAATGCCAATGCAGCCAATGCATTATAATTGTAAATTCATATTGAGACCGGCTTAGGCTTAGGTTCATCCCTGCCAGCAAAGTGCACATCACCCTACCCTACGCAGTAATGAGCTCTTTAACTTGACCCAGTCTTGTCATCATGTCAATCTGGGCATGAATTATTATATATATATATATTGAATTGCACATCTCCTATCCTTTCGCCGAAATGTTGCAACCCCCCTTGAACTTGGAATGTGCTGCTGCCAGCATGGCGGCGGCCATCCACCAGTCACATTCCCCAGTCAACTTCCGGTCACCGCCAAAGCTCCTGCGCTTGGGCCAGGAGCTCCACATTGTGAGCTGAAGATCCCAGGTCATCTTGCCTCCGGCCGTTCAACATGGTCCCCCACCAAAGAATTGCACAACTGGGTGTGTAGCTCAAAAATGGAGACATCCCTGGAAGAAGGAAAGTAGATCAAAACCCATTGGTTCGGGGTCACAAATAAGATAAAGCCTTGCAGTTTAGGTTCCAAAATGGTCAGTTGCAGTGTCCGATGAGAGTTGGAGTTGGAACTGTGCTAACTGGCTCCAAAGGGGACGCAATGTGACCAATTCTTGGTGTGCTGTTGCTTCTAGTCCTGCATGCAATAATTTTATAGTTGCATGTGCTGGCCCGAGGATGAAGCAAGTCAACCACACCGGTAATTGAGGATTCCCTCCTTCTCAAACAAATCCACTCAGCGAATCCCAACTTCTCACAGTGCCCATCCTCGAATCTTGAGCGACTTTCCCAGTCGCACTCATGACGATCTTCCACAAAGGCTCTTCAGACTGTCCTGGGAGCGGCAGCGAAGGCAAATGATATCAGTGATACAAATGCTTTGCGGCTCAAGCCGCAGACCGCACTTGCAAGTCTGTGTACATCAACCTTGACACACCACCGCCAGTCAAAACAAGTGTGGAACAATGTGGCGCATGTCCAAGAACAAGCAACCATTGATATCCATTGATCAATCGTGACGATCGATGTTCGACTGGTTGGACATCCCATCTCGTCCATCTCCCAGCGATTGGCCTTCGCCCTCGTCAAGAGCTGTAAGGTTCACAATCTTCTCGAAAGGCCTGCATATCAGGTATTCTCTGTGACCCCCCCAAATGGTCATCCGGACAGGTCACCATTGCAAAGCAGGAAGCAAAAACAAGATGGCAATGGCCTGCAAAGTCAGAAGCAGCTTGGCCAACACAACAAACCACATGGGGCAGTGGAGTGGAGGTGAAGTACTTGGACATTCACAAACCTCTAAAAAGTCGGGTGACCCAGCACAAGCTTGGATGCACACAAGCGCAGCTTTGGGAGATCTCCTTGAAGCGAAATAAGCTTTTGCTCCAGCTCATGCTTGTCTCCAACCGGCTCCGAGGGGTTGCTCCGGTGGGCCTGTTGTTGTCCAAGATATTCAGCAGAAGGAAGAACAAGCTGTTCCGCTTGTCAATGGAGATGGCCTGATCGGAGAATGACTTGTACAACAACCAGCATTGCGATTCTCCGCACTGTAGTTCTATCTCGACCTGTAACTGGAAGCAATTCATGGACTGACTGCTACACTACAAGTTCCTTGCAATTCGTTGCCATAACACTGAAAACTCCTGAACCATAGAATGATGTTCTCATATCTTTCTAATTGTTTTCTCAAACTTTGTGTGGCATGTCTTTCCCCCGGTCTGCACCTCTTCCACCGCGTCGTTCCGCCGCTCCGCCAGCCGGTCCTTGTGGCCGTCACCAACCCGAACAGTATGTCAGCTCACTTGGTTCGTCCGGGTCACAGGATTAAGAGCCCTTCTCAGAGGGATGGCGATCTCTTTTTGCTATTTGCTTCCACAGTACCATGTAGCGCGCGCACAGGCGAGCAAATCCTTACGCATGCACAGGCGAGAAAATCCCGCGTGCACAGCCGAGGCTCCGCTCCTTCAGAGTTTCATCGGATCAACAGAGCCCCTTGTCAGGAAAGTCCTCTCTGCAAGACTTACTACCTTTGAAAAGAAGCAATGGTTCCATTTTGATCCATGTTGCAGATTTGTTGGTTCCCCCTAATAGAATTCACGAAGAGATGAGCCCTCCCCGTCAAACAAATTGGTCTTGGGGCAGCCATCTCCAGATTGTTTCAGGATCGCCTTGTTGACCGGAAAGGCTTGTGCCTGAAGGCAGTGTGCAGAATGCGATCACATCTTGCAGCGTGCGCCGTGCGCCGTGCGGAAATGTAGGGCTACAGGTCCTGTAGGAGGTCCATCCAGACGGCAGCCAAAATCCCGCGGAAGCCCTTCTCCCAGGCCGCCACGAACCTGGAGGTGGAGATTCCAGCACTGCTTGGAACTGCGGGTCCACTCTCACTCTTCGGAGCCGTCGGGTGCTTTTCTTGGAACTGGCACCTAAATAAAAGGACCACCATGAAGAAAAACCGTTCAGTCGGATGTTTTCTTTGGGGTTGCTGTCTCAGCTGCTCGGGCACTCCCACTTATGTGGTGCTTCATTTGTTGATCAGCCCAGTCTGATCCAGAAGACTGACTGCTGTAGGATTTGCTCTCAAGACACCTGCAGAATACCTGCAAACAAAAGCTCGTCCTTGTATGGATAGATATATTATATAATTTTCTGGAATGGACGCCCCAGCTGGCATAGCCATAGCCATATGAACCCCTCAGAACCCTTGGATCAGGAAAGTCGCACATGAGCATGTCTTGGCTAATCACAGTGTGTTTTTCACACAAAGTGTACTCTTGCCTCCATGTGGCGCTTTCAGTGGAAGCCTTCTTACTCTAGGTTCATGACTTTCTTAGCTTGTGCTCTATCCTATCTTGGATCCTTTTCTTAGACACTTTGCTCAGCATGCAGGGCGTGGTGTCACTCTGTCCTGTGTCCTGACCATCAAAGATCTCTCAGCAGCACATGTGCGGTTCCCTCAAGTCGTCTCTCGCATTTGGTGTAGGAAGTTACAACCTGCTGTACCGACCGGAAGGACGTTTTCAGCTGTTTTTCTGGCCTGCACCGACCGGAAGGACGCATGGGTTTTACAGATGGAAGGAGTGCTGGATTGGATCCTTGCTCCTAGTAGCGATGCCAGGAGCCCCTAGTTAGGCCCTAGTAGCTTCTTGCTACTAGTAGTAAGGCCAGGAGCCCCTCGTAGCATCCTTGCTCCTAGTAGCGATGCCACCATCTGTTGGGCAAATGGAAACATCAAAACACCCTGCACCACTTGGACCGCTGGGACCGGCGCCTGCTCGGGATCCGTTCGTTGGAGTCGAAGGAGCCTCAAGCTGCAGTTCAGGGTTCCCAACGACTGCAGTGATTGGATGAAAAAACAAACAAAAGGAGTGGAAAATAGGACGCTCCATAAATTAAGGGGAAAAAAGTGCATTTCTCTGAAACAGGTGGAGAGATTTCCTACGGGGAGGTCTTTGTGCAAAGAAAAGGCACGTTAGAACTCTTGGAGACTCTTGGAATCGGCCGCAGGCCACGGCGGACTGGCTGACTAGCAGGACAAATACAAAGGATCTGTGAACTGTCGCAGGAAACCAGTGGCCACTAGAGCAACCAATGTCAAAGGCAGCACAGTATGTAAACCAAAAGGGTTATTGTATCCTATATTGCTTCTATGTGAGTACACATCTAATATGATTGATACAGTAATTGGTATTTATTCAAGTCTTGTCTCATTTCCCAGCCAAGCGATGGTAATAAGAACAAACACCGACAAATCTGGTGCAACTAGCACGGCAATCGTCAGGCATGAGCTCATTCCAAGCAAAAAAAAATGCAAGGTTGTTAGGGCAAACTCTTGCTGTCTTCTTTAGTGTTATTAATTTAGAAAACGTCAGGTGAACCATAATTTAAGGAAAGTCAACATAAAAACAAACAAAGCGTGAAAGGACAACAACGCCAAAAAAGAATTAATCACAAAGTTTATATGATGTAATACATATATTTACAAGGTCATAAGGTTTGACTCTGGGCCAATTGACTTTCCTTGGACTTGTGTTTGACTTTTTCGTTTTTGTTTTTCTTCACTTTGGCACTAAATACTGTGTTTATACAATTTTGACTTATTGTTTGCTTTGAAAACTAAGCTGTTTCCCATGGAAATTTAATAACTTGAGTGCGTTGTTGGATGTAAATGGCGTATCCAGGCTGCGCTGGCTGAATTGTTGGTTTAAAAAGAACCATGGCATGACTTCTGATTCAATCTACAAAGCGTTGACTTGAAAACTCTTCAGCTTATCAGTGGAGGGCTCACTTAGCCGTTTGCCCAAGATCAAATTTGCTCCGTCCGTGCCATAAATTGCGGGTTGGGATGGGTGGAGTTGCACCTTCTGCACAAGTGCTCTGCTTCTGCACTCACTGACTTGCAGAAAAAATTCGGAAGTAGATGGTGAGTTTCATGACCTCAGATTCAATTCTTGTCATTGTCCGCACGCGCAGTCATCAACATGGTGCTGCTCAAGGTGTGGTGTGGGAAAGACCAAAACTTCCAAAATCCATCTTCCGTGGCAATCGCTGTTTCGCTACAGCAAAATCAACCTGACCACCTTTTTGTGTGTGCCTTGCCAACATGTTCATACTGTGGACGTGCCATTGTTGGACACAAAATTGTTCCAAAGTGCAGGTCTCGGACATTCTGCAACGTTTGATAGTGATGGATCCCTTGAACAAAAGAATGCAAACAGGCCCCGCACTCCGCAAACGCGCCACAACCATGTTTTTGGTGGCACAGATTTTCACAACCGTGGAGGCGTTCACATTTTGTCACATTTTAGGTGGTTCTTGTACATGTATATGCACGATTTCTGCCATTTCTGCTTCCATTCATCGATTTCATGATATGCAATAATCGGTTTCACAACACTGTCATCGTTTTCACAACATTGTCATCGGTTTCATAACATTGTCATCGATTAGTCGTGTGATTAAAATGGGGTGGGGGGTTGTGATGGAATGAGGATGTGGATGTCATGCTGAGAAGAACATTGTCATCGATTTCACGACTTGTAGTCTTCGGTTTCATAGCATTGTCATCGGTTTCACAACGTTATCGTCCCTTGAATAACATTGTCATCGTTTTCATAACCTTGTCATCGATCACAACACGGTGTCCTCTGTCGAGCACACGCACGATTGCATACCACACGTGGTACATGTTGGAAGCTTACAAGTGCTTTTCATGTTTCTTTCGTGTCTTTTCCGCAGCGGAGCAAGTGCCCGAGCAAGAGAGCCAGTGCCCGAGAAACAGACGAAGAGTCTATATGGACAAGGCTAGATATAAATCTACAATGATCTACAGGCCAAGTGGGCCAAGTTTTATCCACAGCGCACGCGCATCATGCCGACTGGGGTTCAGGTGAGATCTGTTGTCCATTCCAAAAGCGAATGGAGCAAGCCTGTGAGGGTTGCACAGCGTTGTCGCCTCGCTGGTATGCAGCAGATTGACAGATGTTGGCGCCACTTGAAAAAGTTTTTGTCGACACAGATGAAGACACGTCAGGGTGAAACCCTGAACGGGAAGATCTGGGAGAGAATCTTCCAATGGATCTATCGGCGTAATTCGAAGGAGAAAAATGAGTGGATATAACTTTTCGTCGTTCCTCGCATAATTTGCACTTTTGAAACAGTACTTAAAACGCAGACGAGGTGCGACTTGCGATCACAAACGTACGGTTGCAAAAACCCGTGTCACCATGTTTTTGGGTGTGACTTTATGTAGTGGAGTACCATATTTACGGTGTATGTGTATGCATATGGTTTATTGTATTGCATGTATTCATTACAGTAATATATACATACAAATCATCATGATGCACAACAATGATAGTGAATTGTCCTTGACTTGCCACCTGTACTTTAAAAAAATGCTTGACCTTCATGTATTTAAGTGTTTGTGTGCATGCAAGTTTTGGTAGGAAACACATTGCTTATTTCCGGAACAGATTAGAGTTCCCAGGTGCTTTCACTATAAACTAAAATGTTTAATCGACTCAATAAGCTCGGATTATGGTCAAGGGTGAGTAAATCATTCGCAAATCAAACAATGTTTAATGAAGAAGTGAATCTACACTCACGCCGGTCCTACAACAGCAAAGCTCCATGTCCTCAAAAGATTGACTGTTCTGGGGGGCTCGCATGTGTATAATATGCTGTATACAGTAGACCATATATGCCATTGTCTTGCGTCCAATTTCTGGCAGGCCCTGTCACTTTGCGCCACTGGAATCAGCACGTCTTTGTCTAGAGTCTAGAACTCCACGAATCTATGTGCCCGCACCTCCACGGGTATGTGCCCGAGCTCGTCCACGGCGATATGTGCCACCTGACAGGTTCGAGAACCCCAAAGTCGGCAGGTTCGGAGCTCTTCAGATGGTCATACACCACCAAGAAGGACTTGCTCAGTGGGTGGCCTATAGGCTTACAAAACTACTACAGGATGTAAAGCAAGGGGTAAAAACTGTTTGTTCTTTTTTGTTCGAAGAGAGGTCTCTAGACTGTGAGACCCGCAGGTATCTCAAGGGTTTCTATGGGTTTCTCATTCAAGTCATGTTGTTCCATGTCCTTCCTTTCTCTGGGTTGACCTTCCAGCAGCACCAGTTCCACCACAAATGTGGACGTTTCACAACGTCCCATGGCTTGAACCGCCGAAGTTTGTCCTGAAATCTGGGCCAGCAATCTATTAAACCAGCAGCTCCCCCCATTTTTGTGCCGGTCTATACCCGTATATCCTCGCCTTGCAGTGCTTTGACCTTCTCAAAGCCCCTCTTCCAGAGCTGTTGTGAGGTTGGCCGTTTCACGAAGGAAACGGCCTTCTGCCCTCCAAACAACGCTAAGCAAAGCAGGATTGCGAAATCGATCAGCTGCTGTGGAATTTGCCCCCTCAAGTTTGATCATGTTTGATTAGAAATGTTGGAAAACAGTAAGCGCGGGGTGAAAGTGCACATCTGACAGCTTCCAAAAAGGAAGGGTGATCCTCGAGAGGTGCCTGCCAAACAAAAACACATCATGTAGACTAATGTCGTGAAAAGACCATAGCCACCATCGTGTGTTTCAAGGGTGTCGCCCACCTGCTTCCTCTTCCTCCTTCGCTCCTCGAGTCTTCGCCATGAGCTCATGACAGGTGAGTCGTAGCGTCTGTTTGTCTAAGACCAGGAGCTCGTTCGTAGCGATGCCAGCCCCGTTCAGTTCGCGTCCGTTTGTCTAAGACGGCACGTTGAACACGTTTGCCCTTTGGGGCCATGCTTCCCCCACACGCAAAAGGAGACCTTCTGAACATAGCTCCATGATTGGCTAGATCTGTCTGATGATTGCAACTGTGGTAATTAGGGTCTGCCTACTATAAGGTGCTTTGGCAGTGGAACTGTGAAAACTGTTTTGACATCACAAACAAGCGAACGTATTGTTCTTTAAATTCAAAGTGGGAATTCGAAAAGAATTGAGTGGGTACAGCACTTCAAAGAAAGAGTATTGCTTCATCATCGTCATCTTGCTTCTTGTTCCTCATTGTTGCAAAACATCTGTTTGTGTCAGCCACTGATCTGATGCAATTGGCAGTATGGCAGCCATGATCAAAGCATATGAAAAACTTGCTTGGATCTTCAGACTTCAATAGCTCAGAATCACATCAGAACATCAGAACCTCCAAAACCTCGAGATGACGCCGCATTTTTCCTTCGCCGCCCCTACGCCCTGCCAGCCCCTCATCTCAGATGCCAATCTGGGGGTTGTTTGAGGCCTTCCAGGGTCTTTTGTGGCTGCGAATTCATGGCCTGGCCTACAAATCACTGTAAATGCCCCGGCTGCACCGTAGGAGGTCTACGCAAATGCAGCGAGACATTGCCGGAGCTCGGCTCGAACTGCACGGTCTCAAAGGACAATCCGCGTTGGATTGGTTGGCTCAAAGGGCTTGACGCGCTCCACACAGGTCGCACCTGCGACGGACGAATCGCCTATACAGTTTACAGGTCGAATTCAGATCGGAAATGCCTGTCTCGGACAGGTACAAATTCCAGGTCAATCACAGGGGTCAGAAGACGACTACCTGTTTTGACCCCTGCAATTGACCAGGGGGTCAGGAGCAAAATTGTTCAGGTCCTCTTGGACCAAGTTCTTTTTCGTGCATTCAAATTGTCAAAGACATTCTCATTAAGGCCTTTCGGAAGGAACCATCCCTTTTGGGAGTTCCATGTCATGGGATCAACGTCGAAGGCTTCTCTGTAAAAACAGGAACATCCTGGTAGTTGTAGACGAAACCTCAGACCATGTCCACGCGACGTGTTTACGGAGACGAAACTCAGTGGGTGTTCGCAACACTTGACTGGAGTCAAAAGCAACCCTTCAAACCATCTCTCGACATCCGTGTGTGATCGTCTCTCCACAAGTCTTTGCATAAACCCTGGCTGTGTCGTCCCCGGACGAAGTCCGATTCTTCATGTAGCACAGCTGGGAGAAAAGACCAAATGAGTGTACCGCATGCCATCGTTGAAAAAGACCCTAATGTCACGTTCCTTTCCCAGCAAGCCTACAATAATCCGGCCATGTCGGAACACAATAGCGCCCCAATACCCATCTCCCCAAACCGAGCCACAGCTGAAGCCATCTAAGCTGGTTGTGGCCTGGATGGGTTGCACCCAAATCTCACAACGCCCGAGGCCTCGGCAGGGTGGTGACGGAGGCCTCGGCCTCGCTTGAGACGTCCAACTCGGATCGGAGGTGAAGACGACGCGCTGGATCGGAGGGTCTACTCCCTAGTGGCCAATTCCGCCACAAAACCACGACACAGCATTGGCAGGATGACTTGGCTGCTTGTCTTCTTTTCGATTACTATAATAACAGCATCAAGTCACCATTGAACGATATAGTTATATAGTTGACTCTGGTATGAAGCGGGTTCCTTGCTCAGCGCAGCTGCATGTTGTAGAGAGTTTGTTTAGACTATTTTAAGGAACAAACAGCCATGTCTCCGTCTGTTGTCGAGAGGCTGAATTCAATGCCATAGCACAGCGGCGCCGCAGTGCATCTGGCCCTACACTCCTGGTATGCGAACACGCTGGGCCGTTTTCGCGAGGAGAATGGTGGTCCACCCGCGAGGGGCGCTTCCGCGCCGGTCCATCCTTGAAATGGAGAAAATAAAAGGAAACAAACAAAAACTGAAGTGTAACGTGCCACAAAGCAAAGTGCCAGTTCAGTGGCCCTGCAGTGACAGATTCTTCACACACATTGATACTGATGATATGTTGGTCACATTTTGCATGAGGCCCCTATATGTAAAGTCCGTTTGAGGCAAAAAGAAACACCGAGCTGTAGACCATGCAGAAGCTGCTTTAGAAGGATAGAAAAGCGCCCGCCCCAGCGCCTCCAAAGACCTCGTGGGGACCACCACAAAGTAACTGGCGCGGTTGTCCGTCGGTGTGGAGCCCCGACAGGCACGTCCCGTTCCGCCATCCACCTGGGCCCCGACGAATCGTCGAATGATGAGCTGTCCGACCCATGGAGCTGTGGAGGCCTCCCGTTCGGGTAGGGCAACATGAATGCTATGATGTACTACTAGCGTGGCACTTGTTTCTACCTGTTACTACTAGCGTGGCACTTGTTTCTAATAGCTTCTTGTTAC